TGTTTTTGATATCTTTGGAAGAAAAATAATTCAGAAACAGAAAATTTATTTGTTAGATTTATAGATTAATTTATAGTTGAAAATGATTTTTGAATCTAGTATTTTGTGAAAATGGTGTTTGGGATTGCATTTAAAGTTGATGGTCAAGCTCATAGTTTCATATGAATATTATGAATCATCCTGTACTTCTTATACAGGGTGTATCAGAACTCGTGCCCCAGAAAAGAAATTTAAGTGACATAAGATAACAGGAACATGGGAAAGAAATTAAAAAAAGGCATTTATTTTTTGACATTTGACTGATAATCTTGTATATGTATTTTTTTATAATTATTTAGTAAAGTATAAACATGTTTCCAATAAAAGCCACAAATAACATTAAACAGGGTTACAATTTAGGATGCAGCTTCCTTGTTTCCTCTTATAGTCAAAAAACTTGAAATAAATTTTCTAACAAAAATAAATAGAGTCAAAGAGTAAAATTTAAACTAACTTCGAAATTTTTGTAGATAGAATTTTTTTAACATTTTTTCCATGTTTCTGGTATCTTACCTTACATGACATTTTTCTCTGAGGCGAGAGTTCTGGCGCACCTGTATTAAATTTGATTCCGTTGTATTTTAATTTGATTTTCTATCGAATTGATCAATTGTCTTTAAAATTTGAAATACTTTTTTATTTATTTTTATTAATTCAAGTGCTCATGGATGAGAGCAAACTAACAATGATGCAGCGCAAAAAATTCGACTATTGCCTCCGCAACGGTGACCCTTTGCCTTTGCCAACAAATCGTAGTTGCGATTCGATAACACCTAGGAAAAAAGCACCTAGAGTGTTGATTCGTCCTGGGAGTTCTAAACGTCGGAGTTGGGAAACCATCCACAAGTCGGGTGCTTACGAACGAGAAAAATTTGTTCCTCGTGGACCAAAAATCGATAGGGAAAAAGAGAAAAATCGTTTGCAAAATAAAATGGCTTATGGTAAAGAAGTTGAACCGAAGCCATTATCAAAAGCCAAGAAATCACCGGAAACGGAGGAAACTTTTAACAGATTTGATCAACGTGAGTGTATGTGGGTTATAGGAATAGAAATGGTAAAGTGGTTTTAGTTGTACATGAAATAAAAGAAAGGGAGGAGTGGCTGAAACAAATGGAAGAACTTGGTGAAGGAAAGCAGCATAGATTAGTGATTCAGCAGCAAATACAAGCGAGAGTTAGGGAGATGGAGCAGTTGAAGATAGGRGATTTGRATATGGCAGAATCGTGATKATGTTCGCTTCTGCAATATTTTATTWATAAAATTTGTATTTGCATCGGCTTRCGTTTTTCTTTTTCCAAAGGTCAAATGACTTTTGTAAAGATAAAAAATTCTTGATTTAAAATATTATTTTTTGGGGTTAAGCCTTGCTTGGTTAAAGATTAACTTCTACCATAATTTTAGTTAAAAAAATCAAGTACCTATGTTTTGTAAATTTTCAAAAATCTGTTTTTTTTGTAGAGTAAAGTGTCTTATGTGGCAAATACGACAAATAATTATTAAGAAAAGTTGTTTAAAATCAACATCTTGGCCTCTGTACCAAATTTCAAAATCGTGGGTCAACTATTTTTTTTTGTCACGTTAGTTGCATTTTAGTATGTACAAGTACGTTAAAAATGAATTAGAATAATAATCTAGGTGTAATTTTTTTATTCATAATGAAAAGACTGTTAAAAATAAAATTCTTTGATTTGTGAAATACACATCAAAGAAATTGAAAAATCATGTAATATACAAGTTGCATTATAAAAAAACGCCCCAACCCATAATTTTATTACTTTTAAAGACGTTACAATACATTTTTGATCAAAGTTAAACAGTTTTTTCTTCTCAATTGTTTGCTTGTCTTAGATAAAATGAAAAAAAATTGTTCTATTCTTTCCACATCAGCCTACGACTTACTTTATTTAATTTTCAAATTGCCTAAAATTAATAGTTAGTGATAAATAATAGTAAGTGAGCTCTTTGAAAGGTATACAGGRTGTTACATYTAAAAAACTGAAATTGATGTCACTTTCGGTGAAACATGAAGCAGCATTGATTGAGTATCTATGCCAAACAATAGATGAAAAAAAATGTTCAACTTTGTTTTAMGAAGTATTGCCATATCTTTAAAAATTATGAAGTTAATAATAATTAAAATACCGTGCAATCAGTGATTAAAGTTCTTCAGATGGCAATCCTGATTTTTGACATCAAATGTCTTCGRAAACTTTGACAAGTTTGCGTTTTATTCCTTTTGAGTGAAATAATGTTCACTTTAGAGCAGAAAATTTTTATTGCTGTACAAGAGGAAAACGGTGAATGGTCATTTTTACTTTCAGTTTGTGTGGAAAATTTCCAGCCCAGATTACCAGCCAATGTGTTGCCAACTGTACTTTTTTACAAGGAATTTAAATCTGTCATCSTATTTTCCAAGTCGCTCTTGATATCAGAGTTACAACACTCAACTTTGGATTTTCTTATGGACGCCATATTAGATTTTTGTGAGCTCCATGGTGGAGCTCGAATAACGAACACCCTGTATGTATGTAATAATATAATCATATAATAATTTTATTAGAAATTTTGCTAAGTATATATAAAATTTTCGTAATTAATAAATAAAATTCCGTATAATGATKTTTTTTTGTAAATAAACAAAATTTTGAGAGGTAATAAACCTAATCAAAACTTGAAACTTTACCAAATTGAAGAAATTTAATAAGTTTTTGTATTTATTGTTTTAAATTGTGGCAAACGAAACATTTTGGTGCTTTGAAAGTCTACCATTTTTTCTGTTTTTTTTTTATTTTTATGTTGTTTTTCTGATATCTGTAAAAGGCAAATACACTGAACAATAAACAAGAAAACGTTATTTTCACATAATTAATCTATGTATTAATCTTAATGATTAATTACTCTATTCATAATTTAATTCAATCTAGTCAATTGAATAATAGAGTAATTGCACTCTAAGTACCAAACAGTGAGCCATCCGCACAACTATGATAATCATGAATCATGTTTTCCTCCTATTCGTAGCATTTATTTCACTCTCCTTTTCATGCAAATCTAATAWTTGGTAAGTTTTATCTTAATCCGACGAAATGATTCGAAATGTGTTCTTACAGGAATCCCCTAAGCCACAATCAACCTCATGTAGCTGYACTAATTTTAGCTCGTGGTGGTTCAAAAGGCATACCGTTGAAAAATTTAGCTAAACTTGACGGWSATTCGCTTTTAAATATAACTTTGAGTGTTGTTTTGCAAGTGAATTTTTCATCAGTGTGGGTGTCTACAGACCATAAAAAGATTTTACAAGAAGCTGGTGCTGTTAACGTGCATTGGAGATCTGAAGAGTCYGCAACGGATGATGCATCTTCAGTTTCAGGAGTTTTGGATTTTATTCAAGCCCATCCTGAAGTAGATGTGGTTGCCTTGGTTCAGTGTACGTCGCCTTTTGTTAWAGCTTATTATTTGAAGCAAGCTTTACAAGGAATTCGGCAGGGCGAGGAGTGCGTCTTTTCTGCTACGAGGTACTAAAATTAATAAAACAAAAAAGAATGAGACAACAATAYGTTCAATTTTGAAAATCTGGTAAATTTAAGTTTTTTTAAGTTTTAAGTACAAAAAGTTATCATTATTTTTTAGAGGAAACAAAATTAAAAAGACACACTGGCAGACACGGAATTTTGGACATCAAATTTATTACAGTTCAGAAAATGTCGATGTAAACCACGCTTTATTGTCATTGTGATTGACGTTTGAAACAAAAATTTGAAAGTTTTAGTTGAAATTTATTTTTGGCGTCGATTTTCCGAAACAATAATGCCAGCAATACGTGTTTTCATATAAGTTCAATAAATTATTTTGATTTGTTGTCATTTTTTTCTCTCGCTCTCAGGATAAAAATTACAAAAACCGAAAGTGAGGTTAGTTGCCTAAGGCCCGTTTTACATTTTTATGTCAGTCGAATGACAAATCGTCCAAAATTCCGTGTCCGCCAGTGTATGTACTTCATTAAACCGACTTTCTTCAAACTATGGCTTATGGCTTATATTGTAATATAATGAATGAATTTTAATTTATTTTACAACTGACATTTGGTTTTTCATAAATGTTGGTAATTGATAAATCACCAAAATTTTTAAGATTTTCTTTTAATTAGATCACATAAATTGAGGTGGATAGAAAACCCAGACGGGACTTTACGTCCTCTCAACTTCGCCATTCGCCATCGGCCAAGAAGACAAGACTGGTCGGGCGAATTTGTAGAAAATGGGATGTTCTATTTCGCAGAAAGAAAACTAATTAATCGGGGACTTTTACAGAGTGACAGGTACAGTACTACCAACTTAACACWTAAAATATGGAACATTTTTAATGAAAATGCGAACAACTGGTAGTTAAGATTAATAATAATTTATGACTGGCGATTAGTGAGGTCACCGCTGCTTATTTACTCCCGAATCGGCTAAATCCGGTTAAATTTATGCCGCAAAAGTTTAAAATAATAATCATACTGGTACCAGAGGGTACCGAGAATGTGCGAACTTTGAAACTATTATTAACTGTTAAAACAGTGCTGATTTCATCAACAATACAGAAAAATGAAACAATGCCTCTTGACATTCTTGACCTTTTTGCGGCAAAGTGAAAGTGCGATTTTTTTCTAATCCCAGCGTGTGTTCAATTAAATTCCTTTCAGTGTTGTATAAGTCGTAGAGCAAGAATTTCATCACCGGGACTGCTTCCTTGTTTATTTAGGAATTAAAAGTTGCGTAACCTGTTAAAACTGTCAAAGAAATGCCAACGAAGCATTGAGGTTATGTTTATTATTGTAAGTGACATTCCCGTTRGGACAATTAATAAATTATTTCTATCCGGTGTCGTGTCCTCCCACAAATGACGCACGCGAGTGATTRCAGATGCAGAATTGTGGAAATTCCCGAAAAAGATAGTCTGGAAATCGACACTCGATTCGATTTGGATGTCGCAGAAGTCCTCGTCAAGTTATCAAAGAAATGACGACAGATTTGAGTGCAGGTAACTYATTAYGAAATGGTYTATTACYCTACCTCACCATTGGCATTTCTAGGAACAGTGCCAYCCTTGTATCGAGAAGTTTATGATGTGTGTTCCCACAACGGCGAACCTGTCCATAGGGACGTTTATCAGTGCCTTTTGTCCCAATGTAACCTAAGCACAACCCAACTGAAGGTCATMTGGGACCTCGCTGGGCCTTCACAAGGCCTTATCACTAGAACTAACCTCTACAAAACGTTAGCATTAGTGGCTTGGGCCCAACAAGGGAAGACATTGTCTGAGAAACTATTTGATACTTCTTCGGGGAAAGGTATTTCACGTGAAAATRAATTCAAAATTTAAGCAGTTTCTTACAGAATAYCCCTCTCCAAGTATTGGTGATCTAACTCCAGTCAAAAATTTAGTTTTAAAGCTCAATTTAAAAGCCAATCCTGCCGTTTTGGGGCTCACTTATACTGAAATCACTCAATTGGATACAATTAGTGTTGAATTAGTACCTGAGAAGAAAGGACTGTTCCTGAAATATTCTGAATATTTGGTTTCTTCACGCCGATTTAATTCGAAAGTTACGAGAAGATACAATGATTTTTTGGCCCTACAAGAATTGCTTCTTAATAGGTTTCCCTATAGGTAGGAWTTTTTTTTTTKGATTTCGATAATAGTGTCATACAGAGTGACTCATGATAAGRGTGCGCTGTGTATGAATCAGTGATAAAATATTGGTGAATTTCCAGATTTTGTGAAATACATACTTTGTCAATTTTTTTGTTTTTAAGCAAAAGAATATGTTGCAAATTGGGCAATATGTTAAATTTTTTTAATGTTTTGAAGTACCTATTAATAATACTAATTCTAGCCCAGGGCTCTAATTATCTAGTTATTTTATTACTTTAGAGTGGGATAAACGCTATAAGTACACATGGGCGGGGCCTAATTGCGCGCAAACGTAAGAGGGGAGGGGGACAGTGGCGTAACCAAATAATTTTATTCAATTGAATAGGTATTTCCAACACTACATTYAATAATTATGTGTTGTTACAATTTAAGTAAAAAAAATATTTTGCTAATACATTTTTTTTTATTAACACCGCTTATGTGTTACTGTATCATTTACTCCATCATAAATCATAAATTTCACGATCAAAAATTGTTAATAAACCGCCCGAACCCTTAGAGGCTAAACCCATAAACCACAACTATAAATCTTTTCTATTATAAACGTCATTTTATATTTAACAGTATATTCAGTTTGAAGTGAAGCTTAGTTACCGATTTTACTTTAAATTTAGTAGATAAATAAAAAAATATTTTGAAAAATTCACAACTTTATAAGGCAATTAAAAGTTAAATTAAAAAAATATTTTAATGAATGTTTGATGTTATTTATTTATTAAGATAACAAGTAAATGCTAAACCCCACATTAGAAGTATTCGGAGTTTTAAGAGAGATATTTATCTAACACAACAACACTTTCGGTTACACCGGAAATTGGTATCAACTTCGATATTTTTAAATAGAAAGTTATGTTTTTTATTGCATTTTTGGATTACTCAATTGATTTTGAGAAAGTTTTTATCAGACTTTCCTATACCTAAATTTAACCGTTTTATATACACTACTGCTTCCAAAATTTTTTTTTTAAGTTGACTTGTCCAAGACGCATTTTGGTCATCTACGCATACACGCCCAGGTGTATACTTATTTAGTTTGCTCCACTCTATAGAAATATTAAAAATGCAATGATGAAAGTAAAATAAATATTAACTCTCGAAAAATGTCCCGGAACCAATAATAATGGCTGTTATTTAACAATAAACTACAGAGTGGTTATAAATGATTTTCATCTAGCCAGCTTTGGAATTTTTTTGCATGTAACTTTATTTGTGCCGCTCTATTTTTTTGAAAGCTCTAGTTCTGTCATTAGTGTCACTTATTAATTAATAATAAATTGTGGTTAATTAAACTTTTATTGTTTTAATTTATTACCAATAAGAATTGATAATAATGTATACTTTGGAAGAAAACAAGTTTATAATTGAAGACTATTTTCGAAGTGGACGCTTAGAAAACGGCGATTTTTTAATTTTGAGTTGAAACAAGTAGGTACCCTTATTTGTGTAAAGCGGCATTTTTTATTTTACATGGAAAATTCACAATTGGCTAGATGAAAATCATTTATAACCACTCTGTATTATAGTTACCTTGAAATTGAACATTGTTATAATAATAATTATTCAGGAAAAGGTAATTCCGGAAGGACGTGGTTATTAATATTTGCTAGTACATTTTTATTTATTTTTCTTGTATAGAATCTGTGAGTTTTTTGTATTTTGCGTTAATTTGCATTTTTAGTTGGTTATTATCATACAAAGAGAATATTTTGTCTGTTTACAAAAAAATACATTTTTGAAACGTTTTCTAGAAAAATACTCGTACTCCGGTTTTGAAAGAAAAAAAAATTAATAATAAAATTACAAAACAAGAATAAAAGTTATTTTAGTAAAAATATTCCAAAGTAACAATTGGTTAATCACATTACAAATTTATTTTAATGAATGCACAAGACTTTATAATAATTTGGTTTTTCTCAGGCCTATTCATTATTATTATGTGTATTAAGGTTAGTGTGTGAAAAACCTGAAAAAGATAAAAGAACTGTAATGTTTTTTTGATACTTCAGAATAATACATAATACTATTTTAAAATTTTAGTTAAGTAAAAAATAGATAAATTTAAATTGAAGATTAACAACTGCAAACTGCACACTTATCAACAAGAATTTCGTAACCTAGTAACGAACAAATGAATGTGTTGAAATTAATTTTTGTGTCTTATTACATGAATTCTAAATTTGGTGAAAAAATATTTACATTTTGTTGAGATTTTAGGAATTTCAATTATAAAAAAATGCTAAAAATAAAATTCAAATCAGTGAAAATAAGGCAAAACATCTATTATAGTAAAGTAACAATGTTATATTAGTAAAATAAATGTACTAAACATTATTASTTTTTTGTTTTTACGATTTAAACTTAAAATTGCTGCCAGTGAAAGAATTTGTTTCTTTTTAGGCTAGTCCCTCGTCTCCCTCCTAAGAAAATCGTCTCCGACGCCCACTTTCTCGAATCTCGACGTCGCGGCCTCCACCGTTGGCTCACACTCGTCTGTCGCCATCCTACGATCTGTCACGATGCTCTCGTTGCCTTTTTCCTCACAGATCACGGTCCAGACATACAACACCGGATTAGAGATATTTTCCGGCGAGCACCGGACGAATTCATGACCTCAGATCTAGCAGCCACAGCTAAGAATTTACTTCCGGCAGATCACGGAGAAATTGCATCGAGTCGCGAACAAATTCGCTCTTTAGTTCAGGTGATTGGAAAACTAAAATTGCTGGCTGAAAACGCCGTCGAAAGACAGAATTCGTATGCGAGAGATTCTGAAGATTTTGCCGCCCAATTGAAGATTTTGAGTGCGTCGAGTATAGGACAGGTGTTTGGCAGCCAGTGGGGAAGCATGCAGAAGGGCTTCATGGCGATATCCAGGTACAGTGAACGATTTTATGAACAGGGTGCTGCATTTTGGATGTCCGAATAGGGAATCTCCGAAACTAAGATGTTTAGCCAAAAACGAGTAATACATTCTGGGGCTCATTTTTTGAGAAAATAATATTGGTTAAAACCGCATCCCGCTATCGTCTTTTGTTTTCGACTTATAGACAAAAATTGACATTTTAGCCAAATTTAAAAAAATTCATATGTTCGTTATTATAGAAGACACAGATTTGAAATAAAGACATTCTATAGGCACTTTTTTACGTAGAATTTAATAATGTAGTTAACAATTTTTTTTAGTTGTGTGTTTAACCGTAATAAAATAAACTTGTATTTTTTTAAATGGGAATCATAGATGGCTATGTCATTTAAAAAAAAAAAAGCTTGTTTTTTTCTTATCTAAAAAATATATATTTGTA